GACAGCCGCAAATGCGCTAACCGTCACCAGGTACCTGCTGCCTGCCTCCCTTAAGGTAGTTACCTAATAAATAACTACCTACGAACAGGGCCAGTCACAGACTTGACAGGGTTGCGCACCGTGCGTCTTCTGCAGCCGACCGCCCGTGTGTGCCATTACCTCATATTTCATGTCTGGAGGAGTAGATGAAGTCTTCATTTCAATGATACAATCTTGCCTTGCAACTACCTGTGGCTACGGAGTATTACAGGAAGACAAGGGGGGCGTGTAGAATTGATCCACGTTATCTACTGAGGTTGAGCCCATTTCCTAACCGGCTAAACCATGCTCCACCTTGTCCAGCAGCCGCCTCAACGCCAAGCGTGCAGTAGAAGAAAGGTCGGTTGTTGATACGTCAGAAGAATTCAAACAGCCAAAGGGAGAATAAGTAGAGTGACCATATCAGTGGAGAGAGGATTAAACTCGAGTGTAAAGTCCTTTTTAGTTCCAACTATATAAATAATCAATAGCCTACAAAGCAGCATCCTTTTTCGTCATCCACATGGTGGTCCACCTCTCCCGTTTTGTCTCTGTTCGACGGCAAAGGAGAGGCCAGAAGAAGCAAGACAAGACAAGCGAATTACTGAGTAATTCACCGAGCCACCTGGCAAACCGGGGCTTACAGTCTGTGCAACTCGGCATGTTGGTCGATTGTGTGCACCAAAATGCACAAATCACCGCTCGTAGTGTCAACCGCTCCTGATATCTCGAGATCGGGCAAAGACGCGCAATGCGTGGACAAGCGCCCTCATCGCTGCGATAGCGACACACACACACACCCGCCTGATAGCAAAGGAAAAACACAAGAGGTTCGTTCGAACAACCCTGCGCACACTGGATAGCTATTTTGTCTTACCAAACATCGGATCAGCACTTGACACGCGTACTGTCATTCTTAGCAGAGCATCGTGTGTCCCTTTATCCGTACTCGGTACAGATTATATTCGCGATTAGCAGGCCTCCGATACAATGCCACTACTTGCCTTGCTGACCTGCAGCCCACCATCTTTGCGAATATATATTCGTAATTACCTGCCTTATTTTGGTCTCTCATTGATATGTTGTGACGCTGCAGGATCGTGCATCTTGCTCGGCCCCGAAGACTGCAAGTCCTCAGCCGCAAAACATGGACACCATCAATCGCTATTACCACCTCGATTGCCTGCACGCCTGCAACCTGCACGCTCCATGCATTCCGGGTCAACACCAGTGCGGCGTGCACGTATCACCATGTATATGTGTTCATCATTGTCCTACAGAGCATCTGCACGAATTTCGAATCAGACAGTACGGAGTTGTCGTACACGATCCATTTCCACCACGCCGAAGAGCCCTTACATAGGTATACCTACAAAAAGCCGCACCCCACACTACCTAAAGAAGCTTAGGTACCTTCCTAGTACACGTGCCACACACCCACCTCTTCAGGTTAGGTGCTGGATAGTCTCGCGGCTACCATATAACCGCAGCCACAAAGTAAAAGTATTTTCTAATACGTATATTAGCATAATTAAAATAATAATAAAGGTAATTAGATATATAAGATAATATTTAACTATTAAATAATATTATTCTTAAATAGTATTAATATAATAATTTTCTAGAATCAATAGTTAATTATTAAAAATATAAATTATTTTATATATATATTATAATAAATAAATTAAATAAATATTAAATATTTTTTTAAAATATCTTCTTGAATAATAATATGTATAAACTATTTGAAAATATTAAAGTTAGTTTTATAAACTATTTCTATTATATTATTAACTTTAAAATTAAGTTTTTTATACTATCACGGACTAGCCCTAGGCTTCTGTGAATAGGCGTTATAATTGTTAATAATTCTCTTAAGGAGAAAGGAAAAAGGAGTAAAAGAGAAACTAGCTATAGAGTATTAATATTATATGGTGGGCCCTGCGGGCCCGCTTCGGCTCCTCGACGGCCTTAGGCCGACTTATGAGGAAGGTGGGCTAAAGAGCCCGAGTTCTTGACATATACTTAATTTTAAGTTTTTTAAAAATAATTAAATAAAAAATATTTAAAATTACTATATTTAGTATATAGTTACTTTATATAATATATAATTTTAGTATATTTAAGTTCTAATTTTAGTACCTTTAGATGCCTTTCTATTATAGTAATTAGTCTCTATGACGTCGTATGGTGGCCGTGACTATATAGCACCAACCTGAAGAGGTGGGTGTGTGGCACGTGTAGGCACGGGCTTCGGCACGGGTTGGACCTTCAAAGGGAGGGGTGCCTCTACCACACTGCCTTGTTTCCTCCATGCACCAGCCGACTGACCAGCCTGTCTGTATTTCCTCTTCGACTCTGTACGAATATTCAGACTCGACAAGGGACGTTACAATGGCATGTACAGGGCTCTTGATGCAATTTTTGCTGCTGCGACAGTTCTCTGGCTCGACTTGCCCCAAGACATGTCATTCACCGTTCGAGTCCTATCCACTACCTTACCTAGTCATTGACTACTACCTTGTTGCTTCTTAGCACGCACACTTTGTCACTCAACGCCACTGCATTCGGTAAAAGGTGACAATGCGGACTTTCGTGTCGCAGACCGCATCGTTCCTTAAAGCATGTGATCGTTTTAATGAATGATGAAAAGCGTAAATCGGAGCGTCGCCATTGACAAGTTGACATTAATCTGCACGCGCCAAAATCGTCTCGTGTCTTGCGTTCCAGTTCATGCATGCTACTTATTCACATGGCTGGCAAATTTCTACTGTGGCCGCCAAAGAAACCTTCCTCTTTAAGCTGTTTGACGAGCCAGAAATGTAGCACAGCACTCTCATAACCTGAATTTGTACCTAGCGCATCCATGGCCCTACTTCCACACAGACATGGGACAAGGTCCAGATCATGTCTTCGACAAGGTCAAGCGCTTAACGTCGGGGAAGGAACTGCCTACCAGCAAATTGTAGCCTTCTGAAATACTACAGCTGATGTAACAACTTTGACTGGTCCGGGCCACTACCTGTATCGGCATCAAGATGGTATGGCATGCAGTGAGCAAAGGGCAGCATTGTCAACACTCCGTTCCCATGGTATTAAGTCGCCACAGAACGAATGAACACATCTTACTGTCAATGCTCATATGTGAGTTACATTAAGGATATAGGCCCGTCAACCGATTCTATAAAAGTACAATCCGAGCGCCTCCAACATAGAAAATACAGGAAAAATTGAACGGATAAGCGTGCGTGCTAGGTGCTGAAGACGCCGAGATGACCAGCGAACGAACAAGAAAACAAGATGCATCAAAGATTTTCAAGAGCCATCCACAAGATATAAAGAGACACATACAAGCCCCAGATCATGCCGATTACAACTCAAGAGAAGCTAACAAACTTTGGGTCTCTCGGCCGGCCGTCGGGACCAATGCCGTTAGCCTTGAACCGGCCTTCCATGTATACCTTTCTGGCCTTGTCAAAGTTCATCCGACGCGTCTTCATAATCTTGAGAATCTCCGCCTTGCTAGCATCATCCAGGCCTGCGCGACTATCGCCTGCCTCTACGTTGCTGCTGAGATCGAAGGTGCTGCTCGAGAGCCCGGCCTCGATGTCACCAGCAAAAGTCGAGGGCAGTCGCGAGTAGAGGTAGTCGGCGGAGGGCAGGTTTATGTTAATATCGGGAAGGTAGTGCAGCCAGTAGCCTCGCGTGAAGAATAAGACGGTAGCAGTGACGAGAAACAAGAGAGAGACGCTGAAGAGGAGGAGCATGGCTGAGGCGGGGCTGCAAGCACTATGCGAGCTCTCCTGAGGATGGAAAGGCGATGAGTAGAATTTGACGAATAAAGATCAAGGTAGAGAGCGACGTGCGGTGCGGTGCGCAAAACGATGTAGTGGTCATGAACGGTTGAGCCGGTCGTGTTAAATAGTAGCGATGCGGAAAGCTCGGAAGCGGTTTTGGTCGTCGTCGAAACTTCGATTGACGCGTTTATAGAGCGGAAAGCATGATAGGCAGAACTACTCCGTCTTCTGCAGTAGAGTACCGGCTGGTGCGTTTCTTTTACGCACAAGCAAGCGCGTTGATGCGAGGTGTTGAAGTGCTTTGCCAAGTGCGGCCAGACAAGGAGGAGGCCTCGGGTTACAGTCTCAAACGGTTTTTGGCTGACGTGCGCAGCTGTTGCGCCTTGGCCGCTGGACAGGTGAGTGGGCCCAACCCCGTTAGTATCTTATCGCTCAAAACCGCTGATATGCATTTGTCGCGGCGAAAGCGTGATGGAACATAGAACGCGAACGAGCAAAAGCGCTAACCGCAAATAGACAGTTAAGCGAGCCCACACATTGGTGTTTGGATGTTTTGCTGAGGCGACCGAATCCTTTCCTTTGGCCTCGCCTTCTTGATAGCTCTTGTTTGATAATCGCCTAATCTATCAATTCAGCCAACATGTCTGCCCCCGCTCTTAACAACGTGTCTTCGGACCTCATCTGGGCTATTGTCCGTACGTGTTTATCCCTTTGCCGAACTGACCGTTCGATCTGGCGACGCCGAGTTACGATCGATCCGAGAAACTCGACATGACGGAGTACTTGGCGGGCAAATGTTGATCTTTCTTTTACAGGTGACAACCACTGCTTCCTCTCCAAGAGCCGTAGCAATGGTGGTGCTCAGTTCTCGTCTGACCCTCTTAACCTGACCAACAAGAATACCCGCAAGGTTCGTACCCCGATGCCCGGAAACAGAGACGTCTCTATATTTTGCATTGAGCGCCTTCGGCTGACTTGAACTTTTAGCACGCTGGTTTCGTCAATGATAAGGTATTATAAAACGCCCTGTACATGGCCTCGATACACGACCATGATACTAAACTACGATTGATTGTCCAGGCCCTCGGTGTTATCCCTGGCGAGAAGGGTGGTCTTACCATCCTGAGCAAGACCATCAAGAACTCTACCAAGCCCGCCAAGGCTTTCTCTAAGACCAACATCTCTGGTGCCAAGTCGACTCGCAAGTAAGTGGTAGCACAGAATGCTGGAAAATATGCGAAAGCGACATGCACGGATGACGGTTCGGAGCATACCGTACTGACCTGGGTTTGTGCAACTAGGGCCTACAAAGCTGTTGCCAACCAGTCCACCAGGAACGGCTACCGTGCCGATCTCCGTCAGCACGCCGTCGAGCGCGTCTCTGCCATCCGCCGCGCCCAGCGCCCCGTCAAGGAGACTGCCGAGCCCAAGCTTCGTGGCAAGAAGGCCCAGAAGGCTGCCGAGTCCTCTTAAACGATACCGATAATGCGCAAGTTTATGCGGGCTGGTAATCTTGGGAGGAGGAGAAGAAGAACAAGAAATAAATCCTGGTAAATGGATTTTTAGCATCTGGTGAGACTTGCTTAAATTTGCGGTGGTCAAGGCGAAACCATGAAGGTTGCCGGCTAGCCTGCGGCGCAACAGTCGATCCAATATTTAGACGAGGAGAATTTAAGGTGGTTCCCTTTGTCATTGGCTGGAGTTGGCATTTGATATGAACTGTTTCTCTAGTTGCAATACATATGGCTCTATGAGGGCCAAACCTTGAAATCCTGGTGCATGAGCATCTTCCGCGATTGTTGTGCCTGCGATCGCCTTGGATGACGGTTTTCACGATGCGTCGCAAGACGACTATTAAGCTGGCTTCAGGACGTGCTTCAGGACGTCCGTGGTAAGCATGAGGATCGAGTTGTGCACGTCGTCCGACGCGCCTTGTCAAAATATACATCGGCTGGATGGCTGAGGATGCCAAGAAATATAGATTGCGAGGCACAGGTTGACTTGCATTTTGCAGGTCAGGCGAGGTGAGCCATTTTTACCATGGTAGAAGTTGACACGCCTTTTCGTCTTTGATGGCAATCAGAAGCTACAATGACGATATTAAGAAAATGCGGGAACCACAAGTCTGCGGCTAGTCTTCATCGATAATCATCCGGAAGATGGCTGCTCAGTTGATCCCGAGCTCGAGAACTAGATGGCCGTATGGTTGCGGGACCTCGGAAGCCTCGTGCGGGAGGGAGCATGCAGCCGCTGGAGGGGCATCACAAGCTTTAGCCGGCGTGCGGCGTCGTGGCTGGTTAGTGCGAGCCGGAACAACACGGAGGCACGGCGAGCAACATGCTAAAAAGTTTAGACACTTTGTCGTCTAATGCTGTAGTATAGGTATGCATTTTGTGTTTAGCAGTGATGTGGTGTTTGGAAGACTACCTAAATAATAGAGAATTCTTGGTCAAGGGAACCAGGATGGCTGTAGATGCACATGGGTGCGCGGGGTACCTATGTAGGTACGTTATTGGACCAAGCCAAGCTACCTGATACTATTGCAGCAAGATTTGGCATTTTGACACATGCATATCTTAGTAATGAAGAGGAAAAGAGTGCGGAGTGCGGAGTGCCTTGATTGAGAGGCCTAATGCTAGGTACCTAGGCTGTAAGTAGCTTACAAGTTGTTGAGGGGTATTCCTGTCCCCCACTCGTCAGCGAGGGCCCCTCCTTGGCTGCTGAGCAACTTCACTCAAGGTATACCGCTGCCCCTCCCCTTCCCCTCTGGCCGCGGGCGCACCCCTCCTCGAGCTTGGTCCAATCGCCTATGCCTGGTTTCACAAGCTGTTGTCGCTCCAGTGCCAACCTTCTTCCACTCTCGTCACCACACTAGATTCCTTCTTCCTCCATCCCAATTTCTCTTGCATTTGTCTTGTACAAGTCCTCAAATTATCCCTTTTTTTAATCGGGCTCCGGTATATCTCTGGCGCTCGCTCCCTCAATCAAACAACTTAACTTTCCGCTCTCTTCTCATCCTTTACAATGGTCAAAGCTGGTGAGTCTTCTGCCCAGGCTAAACCCCGCATCGATCTTGTCTCGGCGCCTTTCCCAGACTTTTGATCACAGTGCTGGCATATGCCTTTTTCGGTATTGTCGAGTTGCTTAATGCTGACACGACGTTTGCGCAGTCGTTGCCGGTGCCTCTGGCGGCATTGGGCAGGTAAGAAAAACTTCCCTCGGCCTTGGCTGTGTACTCAAACTCATAGAGAGATGCTAATGCGGGTTGTGTCGCAGCCTCTTTCTCTCCTCCTAAAGATCAGCCCGCTCATCGATGAGCTTGCCCTCTACGATGTCGTCAACACTCCCGGTGTTGCCGCGGACCTTTCTCACATCTCTTCCACTGCTGTAAGCCGAAGCCGACCCGCTCTTGCCAGAGCCGGCCATCTGTACTAATCACATGCGACATACAGAAGCTCACTGGCTATCTGCCCGCCAACGACGGCGCGAAGGTTGCCTTCAAGGATGCCGACATTATTGTCATCCCCGCTGGTATTCCTCGTGAGTAGCTCAGATTCCAAGGCTCGGCGCAGCCAAAAAGGCCTCGAGACAAAGAACACCGCTCTAACGACTTGTAGGCAAGCCTGGCATGACTCGTGATGACCTCTTCAACATCAACGCTGGCATTGTCAAGGGTCTTATCGAGGTCGCCGCCGAGGTGGCCCCCAAGGCCTTCATCCTCGTCATCTCCAACCCCGTCAACTCGACTGTTCCCATTGCCGCCGAGGTCCTCAAGGCCAAGGGAGTCTTCAACCCTCAGCGCCTCTTTGGTGTCACCACTCTCGACATTGTCCGTGCGGAGACCTTTGTCGCCGAGATTACTGGTGAGAAGCAGCCCCAGAAGCTCAATATCCCCGTCATTGGTGGCCACTCTGGCGAGACCATTGTGCCACTCTTCAGCAAGGCTACTCCCTCCGTCAACATTCCTGCCGACAAGTATGACGCTCTTGTCAACCGCGTTCAGTTTGGTGGTGATGAGGTAGTCAAGGCCAAGGATGGCGCTGGCTCTGCCACCCTCTCCATGGCTTACGCCGGTTTCCGGTATGATTTGTCTGCATGCCCTCACTTGAACTCGCTGACCGTTTTCCCTAGCTTCGCCGAAAAGGTCCTGAGAGCTGTCAAGGGCGAGAAGGGTCTTATCGAACCCAGCTACGTCTACCTGCCTGGTGTCCCCGGTGGTGATGTCGTAGCCAAGGCTACCGGTTGCGACTTCTTCTCCGTTCCCGTTGAACTTGGCGTAAGATGACTGCCCCGAATCAAGTTTCACTGCGTGCTGACCAGTTTTAGCCCAACGGTGTCGAGAAGGCCACAAACCCATTGGAGGGCATCACCGAGCAGGAGAAGGCCCTACTGACAAAGGCCGTCGAGGGTCTCAAGGGCAATATTTCCAAGGGTGTCCAGTTTGCCCACAACCCTCCCCAAAAGTAAATCAGCCCTTTACCATATCCCCAGTAAGAGCACAACGCGCTTCCGGACAGAACCCGGACGAGATGAAAGCCAGTAGCCTGTCTTGAAGCATCACAGCGGTCAAGCTGTGCGTAATATATGATTTATATGGCCAGGAATACTGATTATTTACTTTTTCTTTTGATAGGCTGTAAGAAGTGTTTGTTTCAGGCTTCGCCAATGGGCTAGTCCGAATCCCAAGCCTTGTTCCAAACAGCACTATCCAAGTACAGGGGTCCAAGTGGCGTCCTGAGCAACAATTGTACGACCTAACGAGCGGAACCGATACCGGTGCGGGCCTGATTGGAAGGCCGAGTGGAATAGTGGCTGCATAGAGATACTCGTCATTGTCGTGTGGTTAGTTGGCTATCCCGTCCTGTATATTGCCTTTTGTTGTTGGCATTGCGTAGTCCTTTCCCTGGCAAAATGAAAAGAGTTCCCCTTTTATGTATCCGCCCCGTGGATTATCAAGTTTTGACGGGCAATGTCTTGATCTGAAACACCGCCCCCGGGAGCTCATTGATTTCTGCCTGCACCGATGCGCTGATCCCGAGCGCGGCCAGCGCTCCCCGAACGATGCCGCACGGGAACCACAGGAACGGCTGTGCCCGCACCACTGCCTGGCCGCCCGCCACGGTGCTCATCCGCGAAAACGGCCGGAAGACGTTGTCCGTCAGTACGTAGACGCCCTTTGCCGCTATTAGCTCGTGCTGCCAACCAAAGGAAAGAGACAGCGTTTGGTTCCCTCCATGTGCATGAAAGGACGAGGGGGTAGGAGGAATGAGCGAGAGGGCATACTCTGTGATTGGTCTTGAGATTGTCTATGTTCTTGCCGAATACCAATGACCAGAGATCCTTGCAGAGGAACTTGATCACGTCGAGCGTGTCATTTAATCGGGGACGATCGCGGGAAAATCTAGTTTTGTCATGTCAGCATTGAGTCTCTGCTTCTCCCCCAATAGCCTCTGCATCTTTCAATATTCCGCGTCTCTCTTGCCTTTCCCGGCCACCATCAAATAGCATGGCAAGCTCCCTTGAAAGACAGCAAGGGGGGGATCAATGATATTCGTAGAATTTTCCTACGAAGAGGAGGTATTCTTCATCCCGTACCTTTCCACTAAGCCTTGCCCGACGCGGTAACCCAGTGTCTCCAGCCGATAATGCACCGCGTCCAGCTCCTCGTCCTCGTCATCGAAGCGCCTCATATTTGCCGCGCTGCCTGTCGTCGCCGCACCCATCGAGCTCGCTCTCTGTCTCTCGCTAACCGTCGAACCGTTGGCGTCGGGCAGCGCGTCCTCATGCTCATCATCCTCGTCGCCGCCCCCGCCCCCGCCACCTGTACTCCTTCGCTTGGCGCCCTTTTCCGCGGCCGCGTCGCCATCACCGTCGCGCTCTTGCGTCACACGGTACGCGAGCGGCACGAGCTCAATGAGCAAAAAGTCGAGGCACGAGGAGCTGAGGAAGCTAGCAGTCGGGTCCGAGGCGTTGTAGGGGGGCATCACCGGCTCGAGAGACATGGTAGGTGGGCGGCCACGGCGGCTGCGCGGTGGTGGTGGTTCGCAAGGGGGGGATCCGTTTGACGAAAAGACTCTTGACAACGACTTGTGAGGGAAGCTGCCCGAGGGAATTGGTAGTATCGTCTAAGTCGCTGTATCAAAGGAAATGGATGCTGGTAGGGGGTGGATGAGGTCGTTGAACAGTTATTGGTAGGCAGGTAGGTACTACCTACAGGTAGGAGGTACCTTAGGTAGGCTAGGTCGAAATTTCTAGGTACCTAGGCACCCAAGGGGGGGACAAAAAAGCTGGCCCATCCTCATAATGCACTACACCAGCACCTAGAGAAACAGAACGAGATGCAAATAATAGAATATAGATAGAGTTTATATATAAAATAGAAAGCATTATTTAGCTATTAAATTATCCTAAGTTAACTTTTTTATGCTAAAAGCTATTTTCTAGAATTAATACATAGTAAATAAAAAGGTAGTCTTACTTCAAGGATTCTCATTATGGGCCATTTACTTTGTCCCCCCGCTGGCACCTACGCGGGA